GTAAGGCAAGGGATGTCAAGAGACTGACACGGCGATAGTGACGCTGTCTCTGTCACTCACAGACGTTGCACTTGATTTGGAGGCTTTGGGGAATGCGGTTGAGTCGAACCAGCGGCGTATCGCCCACAGCTGACAGAGCGGACGGCAAAACAGCATTGGGAAGCGGCATGATGTGGCGTTGCTTGTTGAAACGAAGAGGTGGCAGATGTGGGGGGAGGGGGGGGGGATTAGGCAGTAAATGTCGGTGACGATTGGTATGCTTACAGATGAAGCGCGCTTATCTATGTCTTTGATGATCAACGGGCTAGGATGATGACTGCACGCGCGCAGCGGGTTGCGAACGTATCAGAAGCGAGCTTGCGAGGTGTGTCTGAACGATGGGTTGTATGCGTTTGCGCACACACAAGGGACAGCCTACCGTAAGAAAGGCGAGTCGAGTGTCGGGCTGAGCGAGAGCCAAAGGAAAGGAAAGAGGGAGCGGGGGGGGTTGGGTGGGCGAGGGGATATGGGTTTGCACAGGTTGGACTGAGCGAGTCGAAATGGCCCTGTTGGAGGGCTGATCGGTGAATGGAGGTAACTTTCTCTCAAGCGCGAATCGGCCGAGTGAAGAAGTTGTAGGCGTGCGAGTGTGAAACGCAGAGAAAAGCACAGTCGAGGCGAAGAGAAGAGCGCTCTTTGTGCAGAAAGCTGGGGCTGACTATGTCGAGCGCGGGGACAATTAAGGCGTGTCGGTTGTGGGCGCGCGCGCAAAGCGTAGCGTGGCGTAAGGGCGGTGGTGGTGGTGGTGGTGATGGTTGTGATGATGATGATGATTCAAGAGGATGAGAGACGCGCGTGGCGCAAACAACCACCGCTGCGCTCACACACACCCGCCCTTGCCAACGAAAATTCCACCATGCAATCAATTCACCATTCGTATCGCGCACCTTGAACACGCCACGCTGCGCTGCGCTGCGCCAACCCACAGCCCGGGCCGGTGCCCGCGACCGTCAATTCGTGACTCGTACGCGCGCGCGTGCTGATGTCTGCTCCAACCGATGACTCCGCGGCGCATACACATAGATCGGCATACAGCATCATGCTGCACCGCGCGCGAGTCGTGAGTGAGTACACGCCCGCGCCGCGCCGCGAGCACCGCGATCCATGTGCTGCATGGCTCCTAAAATCATCAGAAATGCAGTCAGCTGGCAGAGTATACTTTCGGGTAAAGCCGCGGCAAAAGCCTAGCTAGGCTACAGCTCGATGCATGCATGCATGCTCATCAGCAGACCGAACTCTTGTGCCTATATGCATGGGGGTCAGCCATGCGTGCATGCAGGCAAGGCAGCGAGGGTTGATGGAGGCGTGCCATGGAGCAGCTCGATCATGCAGCCTGCGCACCCCCACGCCGGCCGCGGGACCCGCGGAGGAACTGCTGTACACACATGCAGCTAGCGCACGAGCTTGATTGAATTGCCCTCGCGCGACGATTCAACAGCGTCAACCAGACCGCGTTGGAATTCGTGATTTGGGCTCGATCGCGCGTCTGTGTATAGAGTGAGAGCACGTGCGAAAGATCTAGGAAGCACGTCATCCCCGCCCATCCATTTTCCATCGCGGCCTCCCCCGCATGCTCCCAATCAGAATGTCACAGTCGGTCAAGTTTCGCTCTACGTCATACAGAGCGAGCCCAGCTCTCAAAGACCACGCACGCATCGCGCAACAACAGTGTGAGTCTTGTAGTCACGAGTGGGGGGAGGCCATGCGTGGCAACGGCTCGTCAAAATCGTAGAAATGCTTTTTTTTGTGCTGTGGTGGCGGGCGGTACTTTTACATTTCGTGTCGTGGTCGGTTTCTCTACGTTCGTAAGACGTGCGAGCAGGAGAAAGGGGGACGGACGACTGGATCGAGTGATCATTGTGAGGCTCAAGCTCGATGATCTGGGACGCGTGGAAACAAATGGTCGAGTCTTTAGTCCACCACGGCAGGCGGATGTGTGTACGCCGCAGTTCGCGCCAAGACCAGCGAGCGGTGTTTCACGCTTTTCGAGCCTGGAAAACGAGGACGTTGCACTCGATTCCAAAAGCCAAAGCAGCCTGAGCAGCGCTTCCCGCCACTTTACCAAGCCTAGCAAGCGTCTCGTGCCGTCGCTGTTGCGCCGCCTCTTCTGCTCTTCTCTGCGCAAACTTCTGCCTGACCAGCTCGTCCACTTCTCTTCTGAAAGAAGAGGGCCTTTGAGATACTTTGCCTCGTCCGATGATCAGCAGGTCCGATGAGCCTCCTCCACACCCTCCCCCACCTCGACCTACTACACAAGTCTGCACGTAGGTCAGAACAGCAGCAATGGATGTGCCCGACGCAGATCCAGATCCAGAATCAGCCGAATGCTTTTGCTGATCCACTTCCAAGAGTATAAACGTCAACGTGCTCCCGTTGGTCATTCGCTGTGTTCTCACAAACGCGGGCGCAAAGTCATCGGCGCGAGCCGCACCGCTGTGAGCAGTACCTCTCGCAGGCTTTGCGGGCGCAAAAGCTTCCTTCTCCTCTTCGGGCGTGATCTCCGGTGCTGCAGCTTTGCTCGGCTCGGCTGTGTGGCCTTCCGTGTCCACCTCGCCCACGCCCTGCTCGAACAAGAAGCGAATGTCCTTGCGTGCCGCATCCGGTTGAGCGACCGTCTTGAGATTGACAGTCTGGTGGTGCGTCCTTTCCGCTTCCTCCTCAGACTCTCCGGCTCTAGAAAGGAAGCCTTCGCCGCTTCGTGAACCTGCTCCTTCTTCTTCTTCTCCGTGAATGGACTCCTGCTGCCGTTGCCGCCTCACAAAGTCCCAGTCGGCTTGCTTTGAAGTGACGCTGCTCAATCCAGCAATGACGACGACATCCAGTACTGTCGAAGCTGCCATTTTCCTAGCCAGCGCCACCGCAGCTCGATCGTCTCTGCCGCCCCAGAACGGAACGACGACGCGCTTCCTCGTCTGGTCGAGCTCGAGCGCTGCTAATGCTCCCTGAGCTTCAGCGCTCATCGAACCTCTCGACGAAGGAGTCCGATCGGCCCGGGGCAGGCATTCCATCGCGTGAGGCCCGATCAAGATGCCCGAGCTCTGCTTTACCTCTCTGAAGAGGCGAGAAGGTAGCCCATCAGCTCCAGCGTCCAATCTCCAAAAGCTCCTTTCGCGATCTTCATCTTCCTCCTCCTCATCCTCGTCATCGTGCTGCTTCGTACTCCCAATGTGAGCCGCAGCGGCCAGGGCACTAAACCATCCGGATTTCGACTCCGAAGAAGGAAAGACAGAAGGTCGATGGCTGTCGTGAGCATGCTCCGACAATGTTTGCTCCCACGGCAACAGAACAAGTCCATGTCCCAATTCGCCCGACGCGCCAAGTTTCGAGCCTCTAGAGGTCGCTAAGCACTGCTGCGCATGCCTATTGGCCTCGACGAGCGTGCTCAGCATGTCTTCCTCCGGAACAGTGTAGACATCTCCGCTGACGGCGTTGCAAGTGTTTGCCAACTTCAGTTTGGCCGATGCCAAGGTCCTCGTGCGCAGCAAGGCGTCGCTGGAAGGCACGCCTTGCAGAGCAGTGCAGCATCGCACCGAAGCCAAGAAAGGGTCCGACCTTCCTCCGCTCTGCGCCGCAGTGCCAGCCGTCAAGGTTCTCAAGATGCTGGCAGTGGTGTACTCGAGCGGCAACAGGCGAATCAGGTCGAGCGCTACCTTTCCTGAGCGGCTATGCGCTTGAGACGCTGACTCGACGCATTGGCCAAGGGTGAAGACCAGTCCCAGCAAGCCGTCCAGAGAAGGCGAAGTGGAGGTCAAGGCGGCCGAAATGACAAAGTCCTGCTCAGCATCGTCGGACGAGCTTTGCTGCTTCTGCGCATCACCCGTCTTTTGCATCTCGCTCGCTCGAGGCTTGCCGAGATCGGATGCATCGCCCAAAGTTTCCTTTGCATCTGTACCTCCTGCTCTGCTCCTCGGATCGCCATAGATGTACAGAGAAAGGGGACGCACGGTGACGGTAGTGGCGAGGCAAGCGAAAAAGATCATGGCGTAGACACGAGGGCTGATGACGCCAATCTGCAAGCCCACTGTGAGGATGACGAGCTCGATGATGCCCTTGCTCTGGGCCAAGCTAGCTACGAACATCGACTCTCGCCACGAAAAGCCCGCCACGCGAGTGAATGCAGACGTGGTGAGGAATTTGGACGCAAACGTGGCCACGACCATCAGAATCGTCAAGCCCCACGTCTTGCCGTCGTTGAGCAGCTTGAAGTTCACTTGGCCTGCGCTCGTCGCGAAATAGAGGGGAAGAAGCACGCCATTGGCGATCGCTTCCACGCTCTCCGTTACTCGCACCGCAAGGGCTTGATGCGGAATGGCAATGCCAAAGATGAGCGCGCCAAGGATGGGATGCAGGCCAGCGATCTGGGTGACAAAGGAGCTGATGAGAGATCCGACAATGACAAAGGTCAAGAGACTGTTGGGCACCTTGTTCTCCGAACCCGAGGTGGGTCCATCCAGAGAAAAGTGCGAATGTCGTATCCAGAAGAATGTGAATGGGCGCACGACGAACCACAGGAAGACGGCGAGCGCTACGCCGATGAGCAGCTGATAGAGGGCGTCGATGCGCGAAGAGCCCGACCCGCCGGCTGCGAGGGCCGATCCCAGAGCGAGGAGGACGTAGCCTATGAGATCGTTGAGCGCACCAGCTGCTATGACGACGCTTCCCAATGTAGTGCTGAGCAGTTTGAGCTCGGCCACCACTCGACTGAGAACGCTGAGAGATGTGACAGCCATGGTGGTGGCCAAGAACAGCATAAAGGTGGTGAAAGTGGCAGATGTTCCGCCTTCCACGTCGTAGATGAGCTTGGATACGCCTGCTGCTATGCCGAAGGGGATGGCCATGCCGGGCAAAGCTATGAGGGCTACCTGTCTGGCATAGCGCACTATCAGGTCCACGTCCGTCTCCAACCCGACGAGCAGCATAAAGATGATGAGACCGATGTTGGATGTGAGGGTCAGCATGCCCGACGATGCTGACGACATGATCGTGTCGGTGAAGCGCGGAATGTCTTTTTTTTTTGCGTCAGGGGAGACGGTGGCGAAGGGGATGAGCGACGCGCAAGCGATTGGCGCGCAGACTGACTGGATCCACGCGGACCGACCGACTCACTTCCAAGCACCGTAGGACCCAAGCACACTCCTGCCAGCAGTTCACCCACCACCTTTGGCTGGCCGACAAACTGAAACGCGTATCCCAACAAGGTGCACAAGGCGATGATGAGCATCGTCTGGGCCAGGAAGAGGGCGAATGTGGCGTTGGTGGAAGCCAGCTCGAGGGATTGCAGCTTTGGCCCCACCAAGGTAGAGTTTGGCGAAGAAGTGGAGTGAAAGATGCCATAGTGAACGACGGGAAAGATGAGGTTTGAGGTGTTGAAGGTGCTCCCAGGGAGGACGGGGAATGCGGTGAGGTAGTCGTCAAGCATCGTGAAAGGCCGTCAAGGGCGAATGAGATGCAGTCGTGATTAAAGTGGTAGCATGTGGTGGGAGAGCGTGTGGTGCGCAATCCTGCCTCTTCGAGAACGTTGGGAGCGTTCAGGAAGCGCAAGTGTATGCGCTCAAAGCAAGCGGGACCCACGCGATGCCTCTTAGCGTGCCCCGCCCCCCTTTTCCCCAAGCCATTCTCCAGCGACGGGAGCAGTCAGGATGTCGATGCAGACAGATCCCTTGCTGGTGCGCCACTGGGATTGCGCTCCTTCGTGCGTCGTCGGCTACGATTGAGCGCGGTGCTCCTTGCGACCGGATCACTTGACCTTTTGCAGGCGCTTTGTTGTATCGCCCAGAGAGCCAGGCGTTGTTTGCGGAATGTAAAAGAAGCGCCTTCAGACCAATGACCACCAGATACGCGCTTGGCTTGGCAAGGGTGAGCGAGATGGGGCGCAAAGCTTGTGACGAGATGGTGGGGCGATAGCATGCGCGATAGCAACGAGTCACGAGTCACGAGTCACGAGTCACGAGTCACGAGTAAGCTCGAACAGAGTTAGCGACCCGCTCTCTCGTGTCTCGCGTTGCAGGTATATAAACGATTATTTGTGTTGCACGCGCGCCCGCACAATCACGCTTTTCCGTATACGTGTGTGACCCCTGCGCGGCCATGCTGGCGATATACAAGTCAGAGTGAGTGATGGACCTGCTATTGTAGCTGTTCTTGCACGGTTATACAGCTGCTGCTGCATATGCATTCCGAACGCTTTGAATGCGCAGGTCCGCGCGGTCATCAGCTGCCATCATCATGGGCGGACACGGAGCTAGAAGCGCGGGGCATGAGCGAGCGAGCGAACGAGCGCGATTATATAGCGAGAGAGAGGTGGTGCGGCATATATGGCGCAAGATGCAACAGTAGCTTAATAAACGGCTGTGTCGGCGTCTAGCTGGTCCATGCAGCATGCATCCTTCTACTCTACTCACGACTACTTCCAGCGGATAGCCCCACACAGCGACCGCAGCAAGAGCGGGCCCCTGAATCATTCTGCTCCTCGTCTGCCTGCATGCATACATCATCAGCAAACTGCCAACCGCAAGTCACGAGTGCGCAATCAAGTTGTGAAGAGGTACCCCTCGTGGACAGACAAGCATAATCGAGTCGAGCGGCGCAGTATAGGGCGTTCAGCTACATAGGCACGCATCGCAAGCAGCACCACATCATCACGAATTCAGCCACCGCCCCCCGCGGCCCGCGCACCTCAAAGATCTTGATAAGCGCCTTTTGCCGGCGGTAAGGCGCAGCTCTCTGCATACAGCATCTGTCAGCAAGCGAGCGTGCAGCGTGCAGCGTGCAGCAGTGACCAAACGGCATGCATGCATGCAGCAGCCCAGGCCAAATGTGAATCACCGATTCCTACACACACGTGACCCGGCACTTTTCGCGAGAGAAGAACATTCTCGACTTTTGATCAATCTTTTCCAGCAGAAAGCGCCACCGTCTGCCGGAATTACCGCGCGCGCGTGCCCCCTACCTAACACACGACTCGTGATTGCTGCATGGCTGCCTGCCTGCCTGACTAACTGACTATAGCTGTATCTGCCTGACCGAGTGCCTATCAACCGCCCTCGACGCCACCCACGACATTCACGATTGGCAGCAGCACGCACACACGCATCAGCAGCGCCAAGCAGACAGCTAAGAGGGAGAGACCTGCATACAAGCAAGCATGCAGCTGAAACTAAGACTGCACCTTCACCTGCACAGCCCGAGAGAGCAGCAGCAGCGCGACTGCCAGTCTCTCAACCGATCGAGAAGCGCGCATCCATCCCTTCGCAATTTCTCGGAGTTCTGGTCCTGGGCCGGCCTTTGCGTGCATCGATGCGCATATCCAATTGGTGGTTGAATGCGCGTTTGGGTGCGTGCGTACCGTACAGCTTTGGGTGCGATTTGATTGATTGATTTGGGCGTGAATGCGAATCTGAATGAATGCCTGCGTCGGTTGGGTTGTGCAGACGGAGTGAGTGCATGCCGCTGATCCTCATCCATCCATCCATCCATCCCACTCGTGTCTTGACCCTCCACCATATCCGCCATCTACCATCCATTCTCCCCTCACTCACTCAACCGCTATCCGAACGGCCGGCCTCGCTCAGGCAAGCTGAAAGCATGGCATCTTCTTCCTCGCACCCCGCGGCGGCGGCGACGAGGCTGGTGGACCAAGAATTCGAGTCCATCTCATCAGCAGCTCCATCAACCTCATCCACCCTTCACTCCCCCGCACCTCGTCCCGTCTCTCCTCGACCAGCCACACGACGACGAGCCTCTCAACCAGTCTATCCCATCTCTCGTCCTCTCACGCCCCTATCCATCGCTTCTGCAAGGCTCAATCCGGACAGTAGATTGGAAAGGTATGCTGCTGCTGCTGCTACTGCTACTACCGGTCCTGCGCTTGGCTACTGCGAGTCCGATGGCGATGGTTGCACAGCAAGCGGAAGCACATCTCACTCTGGCTCGGAGGATGAGGACGATTTAAATTGGAGCAGACGCAAAGGTGCGACGGACAGCTTCGAATATGTGAGTGTATGCGGGTGTTGGTGTCAAACAAGCGCATTGGCTGGATATCGAAGCAAGCCTTTTCCTCCTCCTCCTCCTCCTCCTCTCTCCCACTGCCTCAGCTCGACCTTTCGCTGTCGGTACCTTACACCCTCGTCACCATGAGAGCATCGCTCTTGCACCAACTATCAGACGTCGAGTCGCGCGTCCGCTTGCTCGTCTCTTCCTGGTCACCGCGAGCTGTGGACGTGTCGGCAAGTGCGGCAGCAGCCAAGACGTTGGCCACGTTTCAAGCTCAAGCAGCAGCCATTCGAGCAGACGCAAAGAGGTTGACATTGATGCTACCTCGCGTACCTGCTGGCCTCAACACTGCTCCTCTGCCTCGACTCGCTGCGAAAGGTCAAGATTTCTTGTCAGAGTGGGACACGCCCACTCTTCCCAAAATCGCTCTGCCATCCTTACCAATGGCTTTGCCTGCTTGGCCCGCTGTTCCGCATTTCACATCCGTAGCGGCTCAATTACCTGCCAACGGAGCTTCCATCTTGGCAGCTTTGCAAGATCGACTGGAAGCGATGCAGAGCGCCTATGCCGCCCTCACCCTTCGAGACCTATTCAGCAGCGCCTCTGAGTCATCGCAGGATGCAAGCGCCGCATCCCATGCGATCAACAAGATCTCTCCAGGCTCAAAAGATGCGACGGATGCTGCTTCGGCTGCGGCGCACAGCCAATTGGATATCTTGTTGGCTAGATTGAGAGCGACGGGAGAAGAGGTCAGGGCTAGAGGCCATGCGAGGGCTAGCTCGGTCGCTAAGAAAGCCAGAGAGATGGAGGATGCTGTCTACCACGCTGCGCTCGAACTTGCGGGTCAAGGTCAGCGATTGATTAGGTATGAGAACTTGCCCGAATTGTGGAAGAACAATGAGCACATCGTGAGTGCAGGCGAGGGGTCGCGCGGCTGATGGGGCTGCGCAAGCTGAGGGACGCCGCTGCCCACATCGCACGAACAGCTCTCTGGCTATCGTTTCATTCCCTCTCAAAACTTTGGCGCACTCTTGCGCTCGACTTTCGAGATTCACAATGAGACGGGCAACATTCACTCTCACCTGCTCGGAGCAGTCATCATCATTCCCCTCTTTTGGCCCTCTAAAGGATTGGATGCGGATACGACGCCGATGGACCGACTGGTGCAGACATTGTACCTCGCGGCCGCGCTCAAATGCCTCGTGCTCTCCGTATCGTGGCACGTGATGGCCGGTTGTGCCAATGCTTGCTGGTTCGAGCGATTTGCCTGTGTGGACTACACGGGCATCGCTTGGCTCGTAGCAGCGAGCGTATGGACATTGGTGTACAATGGCTTTTACTGCCAGCCCAACCTGGCCATGTTCTACTCTCTCACCACGCTCATCGTGGGAGCTGTGGGAGCAACGGTACCTTGGGCAGCATGGTTCAACGAGCGAAGCAACAAGGGCTTGCGAATCGCAGTCTTTTTGACCATGTGCTTCACTGCGCTCGCCCCTTTTACGCACGCAGCATTCGAGCACGGTCTGATCAAGACGCTGCGATTCTTTGCTCCCATCGCTCCGAGTCTGCTATGCTACGTAGGCGGACTGATGTTCTACGCCTTTCAATTTCCAGAACGCTATGCGCCCGGCCGCTTCGATATTTGGGGACACGCGCATCAGATCTGGCACGTGGCCATCGTGGGCGCCATCTTGCTGCACTATCGAGCCGCGCTCATCTTTCATGCCAACAGGTTCGACTTTAGCTGCACGGCCCATCCTTCTTCGGAACTCTTTTCGGGCAAGGCGACGCTCAGCCTTGCGGGTGCCAGGTTGCTGCAGAAGGCGGGCGGTCTGCAGGGAATAGATGGGCTGAACTTGGCGGATCATAGAGTGCACCAGTGGAGGAGGGTGCTGGGCGCTTTGGGCGGTGGAATGGTCGGTAAAGTTTGGGATGGCTTTGTCGATTGGACACAGACTTGGTAGTCCCGGGCACGAGGAGGTCTTCTTTTGCCCCACTCTCTTCGCTTCTGCGATCGGTTTCCTCGCCTCGCCTCGCCTCTTCAG